TCTTTCTCTCTTTCTCTCTCTCACTCACTGCTTGTCCTTTTAAGTCTTTGACTAGATTATAGGATCTCCAGGAAGGTTGCCTACCCTTCTGCCTCTCCTCAGGTCTTGTCATAGGCACTTGGTATGCACTCCTAAGTTGTTTCCCTTGTGGCAGTATATGAACAGCTGCTTTAGAAGATTTCTGGGGGTTGTGCCTGAGGCTCTGACTGCCCTTGCACTGCAGTCTGTTGCAGTCATTCGATACACTGACAACAGTAGTTAACACTGTGACCTGAACATGTCACAAGTGGGTAGGCAGAACCTACCTACATGGGGCTCCCCAGCGGGGACATCTCAGTGAGAAAGACTCTAAGCCAATAGCTGTGAAGCTTGACAACTCTCCAGGATGGACTTCAAGAGTCCTAGGGTGTGACTCCATACTCTGTTCACCTACCTGGAATTCTCACAGCATTTATCTGCACAGATGAGCTGAATCCACTGAAGTGTCTGCTAAAACACAGTCAGCATCTGAGATATTTACTACATTTAAATCAGTATCAGTCTTTTTGTTTTGCAAAATCAAGGTGATGGCACTCTCTCCTGGGGCTGTTGTGTTAACCTTGGAATTGCAGAATGACTTTTGAGAAAAACTGTCCAGTAGAAAACATAAGCCTTAAAAAGGCAGATTCAGTCGCAGTTTCTCAATAGGGGCAACTTTCTGCAGACATTCTCATGGATCCTGAGGCATTTGATGTAATTCATTATTTAATTAATTTTATTCTCGCAATTATTTGGTGAAGATAATAAATCTCCCTGATTCTCAGATTCCTCCGATTCTGCTATACAGGTTTAATAAGGATCTTATATGATATCCATAAAATACAGACTGTGTAGCAGTAGATGCACAACAAATTGTGCATAGCATCACAACACTTCTGTTTGGTGTTTGGAAAATAAGACGTAGACCCATTTTGACATGACTTTCTTTATGAAGTACCCAGTGGATGTAATATGACGTCATTGGTTACATCTCTATGTTCTGGCTGTGTTGCCATGTTAGCACCATTGTGGCAATATGTGCACAAGTACTCAGTCATATGCTTATTGGAATATAGGACCATGAAGCAGTCTTGGGTTTTGGTAGAGCATTGGCTTGGAAATAGCCGGAGACCCTGCAAGGGATGGAATATATTTCCCCACACTCCCAGAATCCAGGCTCTTAACACATGGGCTACATCTCCATTAACAAGTACCTTACAGTCATGTTTGGCTAGAGAGGGTGTGACTACAGGCCTCAGGCCCTAGAGGGATTTACATACTAATGAGTTACCTGAAGGCCAGAGGGTGGAGCCAATTAAGCATTCTTCCCTAGACCCTTCCCCCTTCTCCCTCCCTACTTAATTCAGGTCTGCCCTGAGTTTCATGGGGGGGGGGTATATCCAGATCCATCTACCATATGCCATGAAAATAACCCATGGACTTCTCGTGTCTCTGGGGCCCACTGTGGAGAAAACATGGAGAAGGCCTTTAATGCTGAGCAACTGCAGCTGCTGCGCCTAACTTCCCACATGGAGGACCTCTTTGTGTTCCAGCCACAGGGACCCACATCTTCAAGCAAGCTAGCCGGGCTGCCGAGTCTGCTAAGTGAGTACAGTAACCGAGTCCCTCCTGCAGGGTGCTGCCAGGGCCTCTTTCTCCCCCCCCCCCCCGGGGGTCTTGGCTGTGGGCCCACCGGTCACATGCCCACACATCCCCAGTCTCGGTCCTTCTGTGGCCTCTCAGTGGCGTCTGAGAGCCCAAGGGCTTGAGACCAGTTGCTCCCCAGCTACTTCCTGGCCTGGGGATCCCCAATGCAAGGGCTCGGCCCCCTCACCCTCTCAGAACTTCAGACTGAGTGAGAACTCTCCTTGCTGGGTGGGGCCCTGTAGCCTGCCTGGTGCAGTGTGCGGAGTAGACTCAGTCAAGACTCCCATGCAGGAGTCTCTTTGGAGCCGTGGGAATCACAACAGCCCAACAAGGTTCAAGAACCCATGCCCATGCCCACACATGAGCTAATCATTCCCCACATTGGAACTACAGTATTTTATTCTAACTTTCAAGAAATTGCCACTGGACAGATTGCAAACCCAGGTCTGTGAACATGCAAGGATTCTAGAGTGCAATGCTTGAGATGCTCCTGTGTTCTCAGGGTTGTAGTTTTGTGACTTCGTTATAGCTTTCAGTCACCTTCCAGTCATAAGCTCTGTTGTGCTGCATGTGGTATGATATATATATATATATATATATATATATATATATATATATATATATACATACACACATATATATATATACATATATGTGTATATATGGTATATATATGATGTATATCTCATAGAATACACACACACACACATATATATATATACACACATGTGTGTAAATAAACATATGTATACACACACACACACACACACACACACAGAGTGACCCCACAATAGGCCCATGTGTTGAAAGCAGTTTTCACATCTATGGCTTTTAGAAGTTGACTGAATCATGAAGTGCAGATTTTGTGGGTTCTCAGTAGGAGGTAGTGGAGACTGAGGATCCCTGGTCTGATTCTGGGAGTGGCTGGGCCTTTGGAGGATGGATGTATCTTGATCCTTGTATCCTCCTGTTGGTCTATGCTTCCCAGCTGCCATGGGGTGAGCAATGTCCTCTGGCACACAGTTCTGTGGTCATGGTAATCTGTCTCACTGCAGGCCCAGAATGGTGGGGCTGTGGACCGAACCCTTTGAAGGCATGAATCAAAATAAATCCTTCTTGCTGTAAATTGTTTTCTCAGGTAGCCTGTCAGATCTACAGAAAGCTGATGAACACAGAAAGTGTCCATCTCATATAGAACCACGATAAATCAAACTAAGCTGTTATAAGGTAAATTGTAACTCAACAGCATCCTGTAGAACCTTTTTCCTTTGTCCAGGTAGGAAGACTATAAATGAATGGCAAATGGGATCTTACTATGATGTGTGTGAATGTGTGTGTGTGTGGGTGTGTATGTGTGTGGTCCTAGACACCATAGAGCTGCTTAATATTCTGCAAAAATATTTTTACAAGTTCAATTCCAGTTACTATAATTATGACAATAATTTTTCACACCCTGACACCTATTGCAATAGCAACAGAGTTCTTTTCTTGAGACATTATTCAAATAAATTATATCTGCATTTAAATTAATCTCCAGGTTATAGAAATTAGCAATGAG